GCGTCTCCCTGGTGTGCTGAGGGGGACTCCCCCCAGCAGACCAGGGAGACATGGAGCAGCTTTTCTCGCCCCGGAGGACGCAGGCAGCGGGACCGCGGCGCATCTGGGTGTCCCGCCGCTCCCATCCTCCGGGGCGAGAAAAGTCCCGTTCGTAACTGTGGATCCGACATAAGTCGGATCCACGTAACTCGGGGACTGCCTGTACATCTTATTCCCTATTTCATTTTGGTCTGTTTTAGTTGTACCTTTCTTCAGTTTTATTTGGCACAAAATTGATAATTATTCTAATATCTTTGCTTTCTTTTCACAGTATGGTTTTTTATCTGCTCTGATTTTCTTTCTGCCTGGATTGATCATTAGTCAGGTTGTTCCAAATGTATTCCTGTGGCCTTTCAGGAACACTATTAATTCTACACACTGCCTCTTTATCTTGAGCCCCAGATCAATATTACAAACCATACTTTTAAAAATTCACATTCCTGAAGCTGATATTTAAATGAAGTGGAAGTTTAACAGGATTCTTCCTAATCCTCCTCCTCGGGTTGGCCTGAATAATGTGCATTAGAAAATCTGGCACCTTTTCTTTAAAGGCACTTACTGAAAGCCTAAATGCATATCCATCCTGGCCTGTGAAATAAAAATCTATTACCAAAACATAATGAAAATAAAAGTTTGCTGGTTAACACTGTAGTAAAACAGCTTAGAGAGGGGTGGGCAATAATTTCTGAAGTGGGGCCACTTCACAAATTTCTGAAGTGGGGCTACTTCACAAATTTCTGAAGTGGCCCCAGGATGCCATGGAAAGGGTGGGGCCTTGGGTGGAAAAGGTGGGGCCAGGAGACTTCCTGTGCTCCCCAGTCCACGGACCCTGATTGACCGTGAAGTCTTTGCGCCCCACCCCCTGGCAGCTAGAGAGAACCACCAGCTGTTTTGGACTGCTGGCAATTCCCTCTAGGCACTGCTTACACCTGGCAGTGAGGGGAGACTTCATGCACTTCCTGGGCCCCCAGGCCAATCAGGCCACATCAGGGGAATTTTCAGGAGGCCTAATGGGGTTCACTCAACTGGAGAAGGGGATGTGAATCTGATCATAGAATTCACTTACAGAAGGGGTGGGGAAGTTGGGAGCTGTTCTTCATTACTCACCTGGAAAAAGAGAAGAAATTGCTAGGCCTAAGGAGCTGCAGTACCCAGACCCACTTACTGGTAGAGCATGGTGATTTGGTAAGATCTGTATGCTTCTTGGGACTGGGATCTCTGCCACCTGTAGATCTTATGCATTTTGCAAGAGGAGAGAAGTTCTGGAGCTCAGTCTGCTCCTGCAGCATTCTGAAACCCTTTAACAGTGGCTCTTCATGCTAAATGTGTGGTGAGGCACTTCTCCCACACATCTGGGAACTGGGCAGCTGTGGCTCCAGCAATCAATCTCTTGCTCTTTCCCACAGTTTCAGGGCTATGCTAGTTTGTGCCAGCTGCCAAGGGATTGATATGGTAGTCCTTGTCCCTGAGGTACTGCCATTCACCCCCTTCGCCAAGGAAAGCTTTTGTTCTCCTTGAATAAACAAGGTTTTCAAATTCTGCAGCTGTCTGTCATGCAATCACTGGTGTCTTCCATAAAGTGGTACCTATGCCCTTTTGTCAGTTGCTCCTTTTGGTTTTTTGAGACATAAAGGGCCCTTTCAGTATTCAGGCTGGCACTGATGACTATAGGGAGGCCTGCTCTGTTTCAAAGGTAATCAGATCGGAGAGTGCATCACAGGGGAGTGTCTACATCTATTTGGTTGTCAGGGGAGAAGTTCTTACTGCCAACCAGAATTCTCTGCTTTGTTTTAGCTCTTCCTGCTCCATCCACTGAACTTCTAATTTTTGAACAACTGTTGAAAAAAGAAGTGCTGTGATGTTGGAGGTTCAGTATCATCTGATCATTCCACACAGAAAATCCTGCTCTGCTAGCAGGGTTTCCTGACAGAATTATGAGATAGTGAAATGAGTCCCCATGCTTATTGGGTTGGGGGAGGGTGCATATGGTATGAAAGGGAGAAATATGGAAGAAGCTGAAAATACTGTTGAGTAGATGTGACCATAGGTGTAACATCTTTGTCTGGGTTTCTTTAGCACTGACACCCTGTACCCTGCCATGAGAGCTATCACCAGGCACAGGGGCACAGAAGATGAGTTTGAAGGACTTGTAACAAGCTCTCAGTCTGTACTTCCCCCCAAAGGAGCATCAGAAATGGAAATCAACACGCTTCAGGTAAAGGACTATTCCTGCGTGGGCAGAGTGCTGCTGAGAGACATGGAACCATTACAGCCTGTGGGGGCCTAAACAGGGTCACTTGAAAGGATAGTGAAAGCAAACTGGGACTTGTGCTGCAAGACCCACACCTTAGTGTCCGGGAGCAGCACAAAGCAGCTGTAATGGACCAGTGGCATAGCCAGAAGGGCACACTTGGGTGGGCAATGATAGGGAGCAGGGCAGATGGGATGGGGCAGGAGGATTGGGCTGCTTCCCTCCAACCAGTCTTGGTGGGGTGGTCATATTGGTCAAGGGACTCCAGGCCCTGAGGATGCACCTGAAGAGTGGGGTCCACACGCAGGGGATAGCCCTGTTCTATCCACCTGTTTGGTGCTCCAGCCCTGGAGCAAGGTCCGAATGCTGGTTCTAGCCCTCCTCTTCCCGGTCCCTGGCTGGAGTACCAGGCAGAGGAATGGAATGGAGCGAGCCCTTGATCCCGCTTCCCGGCTGGATCACCTGATAGAGCTGGGGTGAGCCCCTGAACATTGGAGCACAAGGAGAGCTTTGGGAGGCTGTGGGGATGGGCTTGGAAGCAAAGTGGGTGGGTCACAGTCTGCACATGTATGTTGGTTGCTACACCCCTGTAATGGACTAGTGAATCTGACCCCCAAAGTACTCATGGTACAGAACAGACACAGTATAACTTCCCTAAATTACCTTATTTTTACTCCTACGTACTGTGTTTTTTTTTAAACTTTTTTAAAACCTGAAAATTGTCAAAGCAGAGCAGATGTGGTATAATAAGCCTACAGATTTAATGTGAACAATTTACTGCATGCTTACTATAGCTTCAAAAACTATTGGAAAGTCTGGAAATACACATGATCCATGATGTGCAAAAGAAAATTACCCTGGAAATGAGTCTAGTTACATCTGAAAGAGCAAGAGCAGGAACCAGCCTACCAACAGGTAAGGTGTGTTAACATACAAAGTGCATTTTTACATCTAGCCCATCCATCTCTTTTGCATAGAAGCATGCCAAACACAGGAAGCCCAATCCTACAGCTTTTACATAGGTGTGGGAGGTCTGGAAAGACTTGGGTTACCAGTTGTGTGCTCTAATACAGGGCGAGGGGCAGCTTCCTTCCACTTTCCTGTCGGGGAACATGCATCTATACTGGCATGTGGAGGGAGGATTTTTTTCCATGCAGGGTGGTAAGGTTCCTGCATATCCTCCCCGTTTCCCTCTGTAGTCATTCAAGAGTGAAGAATAACTTGGCCCATATTCAGAGGATACATTGGTGAAAATTTATCATTTTGACAAAAAACTTCCTTGAGGTTTTGATAAAGCCCAGCCTTTTATGTGAAAGTGGCCCTACTTTTACTTGCTACCACGTTACAAGACTTGTACACGGGGGTGTCAAGCACCTGGCCCATTTGACATACTGATCCAATCTGCTCATTCAACTGCTGCAAAATCTAAGCTTTAACTTTGTTTTTATAAAGCACAATTTAACCATAATTATTGCAAAAAATAATTTCCAAATTTGAGCTGTGTGCACCAAACCAACTCCAGCTTTTCTTCCGGAATCTGCAGACTGCTTGAAATTGCTCCCATGTATCTCACTGGGTATCAATGTGTAAGCCAAATGATGACACTTCAATAGACAAACTTCCAAGTAATTTAAGTGCATAACTATGCACCTTAATTTATACATTTAACATTACTATATGTGCAGATCAGGAAAGTACATGCACAAATGGTCAGACAAGCCAGTGGTGGAAATAATTGTAATTCCAACAGTGGCTCACACCATTTTTTACCACTCACTGGTGTTGGATGAAACAGTAATTTTCCTACTCAAAAGTTTTCGTTACTACATAGAAGTCATGTTCTACTCTCGATTTTCATGCAAAACTCTTATTTATCAGTGGGTGATAAATTGTAGCTAAGGTGCTAACTGGTGGCTCTGCCCTATAACAAAAATGTATTTTAGACTCAGAGTCAATAGAACTATCTGACTCCCCTGCTGCACTGAATCACATAACTCTCTGTGGTGGTGGTGACTTTCTGCTGTATACATTTTTAGAAAGATTGAGAAATCCTGAATGCCAAATTGCACATGGCATCATTTTACGGGGATTAAAGATTTTGTGACAGACATCAGTTGATGTCTTGTTTGTTTTGTTTTTCCCTTCTGCTTCTCCAGAGCTCTGGAAGCATCGTGTTATGCAAGAAAGATTCTCAGTTGTAAGACCACAAGTAGTCGAAACATTTGTTCAGAAACTAATGGAAAATTACCAAGAATCTGATGTAGAGGTACATATGCTGTGTTTCTATCTAGGCATATTTAATCTTTATTTACATCTTTAGTTACTACAACCTGTGTCAACCAGTGACACACCAGGGAAACACCCTCCCTTAAGCTTATGAGTTTACATTTCTATTACGTTAGCAATGTTGACTGTAAGCTTGTGTGTTGCGTATGACATTGGCCTCCTTGTAATGGGATTTGTACAGATCTCACAATTGTAGAAAGGTCAGAAGGATTTAGTACTGGGATTGGAGGCTTCTAAGGAGCTATAGCAGACTTGGGCAATTTTTTACCTGAGGGCTGCATCTGGTTATGGAAATCTGTATGGCGGATTGAGGTGGGGCAGGAGGACTCATGGGGTGTGCCATGGTAGGGGGCTCTATAAGGGATGTTATTATGGTGTGGGAGAGGCACTCTATGGGATATAAGAGAGGGGATATAAAGGATGCTACTTAGGTGAGGAGAGGTGGGACTCGTGGGGTGTAGTGCAATGGGGAGGCCTCTACAAAGGCACTACTGGGGACTCCTAGGGGTCCTGCCATCAGTGACACCTTAGCAGCCCTACCAGACACTGCCATGGGCAGAGGCACCATAGCTGGGATGGGTATGGTCCCTGGGGTAGTTTCAAGGCTTTTGAGGGTTGGGATGTAGGAGACCATGAGGGGATCATAGGGCAAGGTTCCAATTTCTGAAACAGTGTGGCAAAGTTGTGCCCGTGCAGTGTGGCTCTGCATGCTGTATGATGGTGCTCTTCAAGGAATTGTGAGTCGGGGGCTGGAGAGGGCCAGGCAGGCAGAGCAGGGCAAGTCCCCGACCGTGCTCCCCAATGAGAGCTCGAGAGCCAGATAAAAAAGGTGTAATGGGCTAGATATGGCCTGTGGGCCATACTTTGCCCACTCCTGAATTATAGGAAGCAGTGCTGGGACTCAGTAGGCAGTCATATTAAATCAGGCACCCTGTGACGTGTTAGGAAATACTCTGTTGCTTGAGGCATCATCTTTCCAACAAAGGTCTTGAGCACTTAATCATTAAAGAGCTGATGTATTTATTCTGAAGGGGAGGAGGGATGTTGGCCTCAGCACCTAGGCCATTTTCCAAATCGGTAATTACATTTTTCTATCTAAAAATCTTGTTGCTGTTTCAGTTGGACAAGATACTCATTTCCTAAGGTAGGGTTGTCACATGCTTCCTGTGCATATATGACACTCATTCTCTGCGGATCCTCTGTGAGAAAGCAAAGGGCCTTCCTGACAGCTAACTGGTAGAAGCCTGTATTTTTTGACCTGAAGGACAAGGCTTTCAATCTAGTTTCTTAGAGATGCTTTTGATTTATATAGTAGTAGTCTCTTCTCTACAACACATGGGTTTGTCACACGTTTCTTTATTTACCCTAAGGGTAGAGAGCAGTTTCATGGCAGATGAAATGATTCCTGTATTTATCTTAAATTTATAACTTGGAGACCTTTAGGGATGAAAGGTATTTTATAAATATATGTTAAATTATAATGAAATATTAGGTTATCATCACACCTGCTTCATTGTTTTCATTAAAATGAGATTCAGTATTGAGATACATTGCTTGGTTCCTAGCGGTAAGCCTGCTCCCTATCCAAATTCTGTGTGAATTGGGGTAAGAGAGTTGAGAAATTTCCTTCAGAGCTCTCCAATTTACAAGTGAGCTTATGGATCAAAAGTCTTGTCTACACGTAAACTTGTACTGGTTTAATTTATCTGGTCCAAACCCCTATGTTGGACCCTCTTAGTTCAGTTTAAGAATCATTTATTTCAATTTAGCATAACGTATATCCTAACTGATTTAACTAAACTGGAATGAGCCTGGTTTAAACCAAAACAAGAACGCCCACAGACCTTTTTGCACTGGTTTAACAAAATCAGTTTAAAATTGCACCTTTGGTTAAATCAATGCAATTTTCCATGTAGACAAGCTGTATGTGTAAGGCGGGGAGGAAAAGGGTTTTTTTTTCCTCTGATGTATTTCTACAGGAGGAGGAGAAATTATCTCCAAATGAATAGAAAAATTGAAAGTAGGCAGTTCTGTCTGGGAGCACATCATATGTCAAACCAAAATACAGAAGCCTTGGGGTGGAGTGGGGGTGGAGGACAAGATATAGATGTAAATACCTGTGATAGCAGGGAATATCTAAAATTACTAAACACCTAAGTTTGAGGTTATATGTTTTTTAAATCTCCAGATTACGTTTAAAAAAAGCCATTTACAAAAATGCCTCACTGCACTGGGCTGTGACATTATGGCCAGAGAGCGCAGCAACTTTGAGACTTACTCTATGTTTTATGAAAATCTACTCCAGCAGGAACATCAGCTACTCTATCAAAAAGAACAGGTACATGCCTAGTGCTGATTCTGTATTGTAGAGAGGGAAGAAATGTCAAAGAGATTTTGCAAGATGGGAAGCCATTACCAAATAAAAATGGCTGGTAAAATAACTGTAGGACAATTCTGCTGTACTAGCTTAGTCACAATATGCGTTTGTGCTTTTTTTTTTCAGGAACTGCATGTAGTAGAAGAAGGTGGAAGGCAAAATGATGTAAACCTTAGTCAGGTTGGTTGTGGGGATTTGTGCTCCAGTTGCTTTTTAGAGTTCTCACTCATGATTGGAGCCATCTTGTACAGGGCATTGTATAAACACATAAAGACCATCACTGACCAAAAGAGCCTACTTATTACTTTATTTGTCATATTTACGGGTGTGTAGATGCGCACTGCACAATGACTTTTGAAGTTTCTTTGTAGCCCAAATTGCTCGTCAGATTACAGCTGTCCCCTTTTGTGTTTTGACAGAGTACATGTAGGGATGGTAAATGAGCAGTCTGATCAGCACTAGGAGCTGTATGTTCAATCAAGATGGAATATTCAGAGATTATTGAGCATGTGTAAACTGTGATTTTTTTTCCCCCCAAAGACTTCTAAGTTGGTCAAATTTTGGCCAATTTTCATTGGGGGTAGGAAAAGCACATCCCTGACACACAGACATACCAAATTTAAAGCCCGTGTTCTAAAGGCTGTTGAGGGCACTAGAGTACTTCAAAGAAAAGATCACAAGAATTTTTTAACATGGCAATTCTTATTCTAGCCTTTTCCTTAGAAATGGCTGAACTATTCTGGATGAAATTTTCCAGAAGAATTCAACTGGAGGCAGACACACCCAGAATGGAAAAAAATCAGTCTAACTGTCTGGCAGAGTTATACCAAAGTTGAAACCAGAGTTCTATAATGAGAAGTGGCAATGGAGTTCTATAATGGCAATCCTATAAATAGTTGTTGCTACCATTTTATTTATTTATTTTTTGCATATGAAGCTTCTGGAGTCACATTTTTAATGACCCATTACTTTCTAACATTATACTCAGAATTGAGTACAAATGCAAACTGATTGCAAATGCAGTAGATCAAGGTTGAAAATGACAGAACTTATACATCTAATAACCACCTGTCTGAGCCTGCAAGCCAGGCAGACATCTACATTCCATTGTGCTCCCATTTCTGCTACTTTGGATGTTATCTTTAGAAATCGTATTACTGCTGTGTTTTCAAGTATCAAGAGACCTACCAACAATACACGGCTGTTCACTTAATTCTTTATTAAGTGGTCTGTGCCTGGAGCTGTACAAACCTAAAAGGAGACATTTTACTTGCTCCAAAAAACTTACCATTGAGTAGTTTACTTTGCTGCTTAAATACAGTTCTGATGTCTATCTTTAAGGATCAGGGTGGTTTGGGTAAGTGGGATCAGGGTTAATCAAAACTACGTGGGGCCATTAAGTCTTTTTTTTCTTCTAATACCAGACTTCTTGATTTTCCTCCCTTGGCCCACTAAAAATATACTTTCTCTCAGTTCCTCTTACCTACTGGATTCACTGCTAATTTTCTCTCTCTATCCCTCTCCTCATAACCACAAATAGACTCTTGGTTTTTCGTGTGTCATTATGCATTCTCCCACCCTCAAATCATTGTGTCGGAAGCTCAGGGACCCTTTGGATTCAGCCAATAGAAAGCGAGTAACTTCAAAGCAAATAGAGAAACAAAACATGGGTAATTTTACAGAGGTGCATTCTTACTGTAGTCAAGCCTTTCAGTTAGAAAGGCTCATATCTGTATCTAAATATTCTCAAATTTAGGGTGTTAAGACTAAGGTCTTTTGTTTAGGCCTTCTCCAGTTTCACTGATTTATTATTTTCTCCTTTGATAGATAGCAGAGCTGAGTCATGAGATGATTATGGAAATAACTGCTCTCAGAGCCAGGCTCACTAATGTAGAAAAAGAAAATATCTGCCTCAAAGAGGGAATAAGGAAAGAAGTACAAGATGAATATGAAACATTAGTACAGAATCTATTTGTGACCTGCTTGAATCTCAAAGTAAGTATAAAAGAAAGTGGATAACAGATAGGTCCCTTGTATGTACCATTTTATTACTTACCTAATATGTATGGGTATGTCTACACTAGAAAGTTAGTTCGAACTAACGGACGTTAGTTCGAACTAACTTTCCTATGCGCTACACTAGCGCTCCGCTAGTTCGAATTTGAATCGAACTAGCGGAGCGCTTAGTTCGAACTAGGAAAACCTCATTTTACGAGGACTAACGCCTAGTTCGAACTAGCTAGTTCGAACTAAGGGCTGTGTAGCCCTTTAGTTCGAACTAGTGGGAGGCTAGCCCTCCCCAGGTTTCCCTGGTGGCCACTCTGGCCAACACCAGGGAAACTCTATGCCCCCCTCCCGGCCCCGGACCCCTTAAAGGGGCACGGGCTGGCTACGGTGCCCGTGCCAGGTGCAAGCCTGCCAGCACCCAGCTAGCAGACCCTGCACCTGGCACGGCACAGAGCCACCCACCCGATGCCTCCCAGCCCACCCCCTCTTGCCGGGACCAGGCTGGCGGCTCCCGGGAGCTTGCCCTGGACCGCAAGAGGCGGGCACCTTCCTGGGCTAGTGCGGACATCGTGGACCTCGTCCACGATCTCCGCACTAGGCACAGGAAAGTGGCCGTCTAGGGCAGGAGAGCTGCCAGCCTGGCCACCCAGGAGCAGGTGTGCATGAAAATCAAGGGGGTCCACTGAGACCCCCGACCCTGAGCCCTGAGCTTACAATGGCCGTCCTGGGTCAGACCAAAGGTCCATCTAGCCCAGTAGCCTCTCTGCCAACAGCGGCCAACCCTAGGGACCCTGGAGGGGATGGACCGAAGACAATGACCAAGCCATTTGTCTCGTGCCATCCCTCTCCAGCCTTCCACAAACTTTGGGCAGGGACACCACTCCTACCCTCTGGCTAATAGGACTCCATGGACCCAACCTCCATCACTTGATCTCACTTCCCTTTAAACTCTGTTCTAGTTCTAGCCTTCACAGCCTCCTGCAGCAAGGAGTTCCACAGGTTAACTATTTGCTTTGGGAAGAAGAACAACTTTCTCTTACTAGTTTCAAGCCTGCTACCCATTCCTTTCCTTTGGTGTCCTCTAGTCCTTCTTTATGGGAACTCATGAAGAACTTTTCTGAATGCACCCTCTCCACCCAACCCCTGCTTTTAGAGACCTCTATCCTGTCCCCCCTCCGTCTCCTCTTTTCTAAGCTGAACAGTCCCAGTCTCTGTAGCCTCTCTTCATCTGGGACCTGTTCCCAACCCCTGATCATGTTAGTTGCCCTCCCCTCTCCCAGCCTTTCTCTTCCCCTCTCCCACCTCCTTTTCCCAGTCTCCCCCAGTTTTTTTCAATAAAGACAGAGTCAATGTTGGAAGAAACATTAGCTTTATTTTGTACATCAATAAGAAGGGGGGCTAGGGAAGGGCAAGTGGAAGAAGGTGAGGGAGGAATGGGGCACGAGCCCCCGATGGGGAGGACTGGGCTGGCTCTGCGGGCTTCTGGGGGTGGAAGCTCTCCTGCAGCCCCCCAATTGCCCCCTCTCCCCAGATGGCAGCCTGCGGCAAGTGCAGCCGGGCTGATGGCCGAGTGGTGTGATGTGCCCAGTGTGGGCACTCAGGGCACTCCAAGCCAGAACTTCTTTGCAAGCGGGGCACCCCTTAGAACTGTGTGTCCGGGGTGGGGGTCGGGACCCTTTAAGCGCAGCCCTCGGCTAGCCTGAGACAGTATCTCCACGCTCTAAGTCCTCCTTTTATGCCCTGCCGGCACTGCTTCCGGCCATCCTTAAGCCCTGTTCAGAGTCCACTCAATGTGGACTTACTAGTTCGAACTAGCAAAACGCTAGTTCGAACTAGTTTTTAGTTCTAGATGCGTTAGTTCGAACTAGCTTAGTTCGAATTAACTAATTCGAACTAAGTTAGTTCGAACTAGCGCTGTAGTGTAGACGTACCCTTAGGCATAGAAAGGAATGAATTAGACAAATGTGCCCACAAGCTAAAGTGGATGGATGAATTACTTTGTTCATCTCTTTATGTTTGTTGGGGTATTTCAGGTGAAATTTCCAGCTTGGGAAGTATGTGTATCTATTCTGATAAGAGAAGATGTAACCCACACAACTAGTGGGTGTGGTTCACTATTCCAAATAGAGGCACTTAGGCTTATTAACAGCTGTATTTCTCAAAGTGATCCGCGAAACCACTTTGAGAAGCCTGTTAATTGGCCATGCTGGTTTGTTTACTTACTGACGCTGTGACCACAGAGCTTCGGAGATCCTCTTGGCTCTGGTTCGCTGTTTGCAGCCAAGGGGAGCCATGGGAAGTGGCGTGGGCCGGGCCACTGCTTCCTGCAGCTCCCCTTGGCTGCAAACAGCGAACGGAGGCCAATAGGAACTGCGAGGCTCCATGGCCACGGAGCAAGTAAGAAAACAAACTGGTATGGCCAGTTAACAGGTTTCTCAGTGTGGTTTCATGGACCACTTTGAGAAATGCTGACGTACAGAGAGAAAGAATGAGTTCACTCTACAGCCTGAGCTGGCTGGCTTTTAGCTCAAGCTGTAGAGACTCATTCATGAAGCTCCAGAGGTCCCAGGTTCAGTTCCATCTGTTGGTATTACAAAGGCACATTTTAAAGGAGATTAATATCCTATTAAAAAGGTGGGGATACTTGTTTTTTGTTTTAAGCTACAGTGATGAAAATGTTTTTAACTTAACATTTTTACTTTTTATATTATTTTTCTTAAAAATCTAGGGCCAACTTGTTATGCCATCCCTCCTGCTGAGTAGTGCCTTGTATCTCAAGTGGTCCTGTTGATTTCAATGGGGTTACTTGAGGAATGTGGCACTGGGCAGCATGACTGATGGTATAAGAATCCAGCCTCTCGTAACCTGTTCTAGAAGCAATTCAGTACATAAAATTGGGGCTGTAGTCCAGGATTATAGATGATGTATCCACAAGCCCATTAATACCCCCAGATGATGGCAAGGGTGGTAGCAGAATTACCTGGGTCTCATTTCCCCACTCTATCACGTATTGTCTCTAACATGAATCCATTTTGTACCAAAAAGTTGATCTTACAACATGCTGCAAATTCCATTAAACATGTGTCCTGTGCATATTGGTAGCTTCTCTGCAAAGCTGTGCAATTGAAATGACATGGTCTGAAATATCTGATTAGAGCAGGGGTGGGCAAGAGGCTGCCAGTGGGCCAGATTCGGCCCACCAAGCCACCAGATCCATCATGCGGCTGCCTCACTGGGACCCTTAAGCACAGCACAGCACAGCACAGCACAGCACAGCACAGCACAGCAGCAGCCTCTTTAAATGTGACTGCTCTATTCTTGGAGTGAGGAGGGAGGCTTTGTGCTCTGTCCCACCCCTCAGCAAAATCTCTCAGCTCCCATTGACCAGTTTCTGACCAATAGCAGCTGAGATATTTTGCTGGTGGCAGGGGCAGCCAATGAAGCCTCTTACCTCCACCCTCCCCCTGCCTGGAGCAGAGCCATGTGAAGCAGCTTGCAACTTCAGCCTTCAGGTTCCTTCAGGGCTGCTGACTGGGAGCTGCCTAGGTAAGCACCTGCTAGCCAGAGCCCGCCTCTGGCACGCCCCCTTCATCCCCTATTCAATTATCTGCCCCAGGCCACCACCCAAAATCTGTGTACCCCAGGTCTCAACTCCCTCCCAGACCCTGCACCCAGCTCCTAGAGCCCCTCCCCCAGGCCAGAATCCTCTCTGGCACCTATCCCTCTTCCCTGACCCTGCACCCCATTCCCCTTCCCCAAGTCATCACCCAAACCCTCTTCACCCCCTTCATCCAGGTCACAACTCCCTCCCAGAACCTGCGTCCCCTCCTAGAGCCCCTCTCTCAGGCCAGAATCCTCTCCTGCATACTCTCTCTTATGCTCTGCACCCCAAGCCTCTGCCCCAGATCATAAACCACTCCTTCACCCAAACTCCCTCTCAGACTCCACAGCCCCTTCTACACCCAACCTCTGTCCCAGACTCCAAGCCCTCTCGGTAGAAAAGTGGCCCTTGACCTTGCCAACATCTTGGAGAGGCCCCTCATTAAAAATTATTGCCCACCCCTGGACTAGAGGAAGAAATTTGCTTCCTAATTCTGATACTTTATGACTCTGGAAAATAATGATCAGATAAAGCTTTCATGTAGGAACTGAGCTACTTCTCATACCTTCTAAAACACTGTGCAAGGGACTCCATGGAGACTATTAGCCTATGTTCCTCTTTTTCCAGCATCTGATGGGCAGAATAAAAATCCATTAAGAGGTGGTAGAAAGAGTTGCAGAAAAACAAAGGTCTTTCATATTTTTTAAAAGAGCCACTCATTCAATTAAAAGCTTTTGCGAGAAGCTTTTCAATGAGTTGACTGCATATTTTTATATGAAAGCAGTATTTAGAATATAGTTTTCTTAACTTCATATGCATGTGTCTTCCCTCATCCATACTGTTGACTTCTATTTCAAATTTCAGGGGAAGTTAGATGGCTATCGCCTTAATATGAGCCAACAAGTGTTTCAAATCATCAATGAAGTGAAAAAAGAAGGCATTGACAAAATGATTAATTTGAAAAAAAAATCTGGTTCCACCAAAGGTGATGATGAATTGAAAGAACATTTGTCTAAAGTAGGGCAGAGGGTATATTTTTTTGTTTCTTTCTTTGTTTTTAAGTGTTTGGGATTGTATGGTTCAACCAAATTACTGGATCTAAAAGTTACTGAATTTTGTGGTGGGTTTGACTCTGAACTTGGCAATTGTCTTGTGCGTTTATAATGGGCTGACCAAAAACTTGCATCCTACTCATGATGAACTTTGGAGAGGCAGAGTTCTGGGTCTGAACTTTGCAGTTTAGGTTCATCTGAGGTTGAAATGAAAATGTACATGTGACAGGTTCAGTCTCTGGGGCCTCCGTTGGGACTGTCACTTGATGTGCTGAATTATCACAGAGCTCACCTTCCTGCCGTCATTTGTGACTCTCAGCTCTGTGCTGCTGAGCCAGGCCCTCAGGTCTCTTCTAGCAGTGACCGAGATAGTGTCTCACAGCCCTCTGCAGTATAATACAGATGCTGAGATAAGCTCAGCTAAATGCACCCAAATGCACAGCCACACTGGGATCAGAACCCCAGATAAATCTGTCTTACTTTGTATCAACTCTTTTACAAGGTAACCTCATGTTTGCCCTCTTTCTTGGGTAAAGAGAGAGATGCACAGACTCTTTGGCTATGTCTACACTATTGCCTCTTGCGCAAGAAATATGCACGAGGCAAAGCATAGAATATCGCCGTGCCTCGTGCATAATTAATGAGGCTCCATTTTTGCCCAAAAAACCCCTCTTGCGCAAGAGCCGTTCTTCCGCATTTTTTTCAGGAAGAACGGCTCTTGTGCAAGAGGGGTTTTTTGTGCAAAAACAGAGCCTAATTAATTATGCAAATAAGGTGCAGCGATATTCCACACTTCACCTCATTTGCATATTTCTTGCGCAAAATGGGTGCAGTGTAGAGATAAACTTTGTCTCCCCCCCAAGTTACAATTATTTACGCTGGTTTTTTAAATAAATTAATGATTGAGAGAGCAGACCTAACAATGTAGGTTACTGAAGAAAATAAAACAGAACATGCAAGCTAACCTTACTACTCTAAGAACCTAGTTGCATGTAATCTCACCCTCAAAGTTCTGATAAGCTTCTTTCACAGACTTCCCATCTGGGTTCATCACTTCCTATCATTCAGTCTTAGATGTTTCCAGCAGTCATCTTGTGTGGCGTAGCCAGGAAGAACTGACAATCTTGAAAAAATCAATACCCATTCTTAAATAGGATTTGCTTAAGGCAGGAATCCTTTGTCTTCAGTCTAATCCCTTCCCAGCTTTTCATAGAAAAGTACAGGGTTTAAGATAGATTGTAGTATCAGGTGACCTGGTCATTTTTCTTGGTAGTAGCCACCATAATCCCTTCTCCAAGCTTACAAGAAAAACAATTCTGTTCACAGATCATTGTCCATAGTACTGGACCATTAAGTTCCTTGAGTACTACAGGTTGGACCACCCCGGTCCAGTACCTTTGGGACCTGATCGGAGCCAGATGAGGGATTTTGCCAAACCAGGGAGGTCATTTCTGGCTCCCAGCCCTGACTCAGCCTGCCAGTCTCCCTGCCAACTCCCCACCTACTGCTGGCCCCACTACCATGCCAACCCCACCTGACTGCCATAGTTCCTGGATATGCCAGGGCACCCAGCCGTACTGGGCAGCCACACACTGGGGCTCCTGGCCCCTCTGCTATGCACTGGATGACCGTGCTGGCAACTCTCTGCAGGCAGCCCACTACCCTGCTGGTCCCGAAGGGCTCCTTGCTGCTGGCTCTCCACCAGGACTCTATGCAACATCCATGCCAGAGCACAGATACTGTTGGAGCAGAGAGTCCCAGTTTAGAGAGTTTCAACCTGTACTAATGGCCCTCACTTAACTTGTGTACATTTGTAATGCATGTTCTAATTTCAAATACAAGATACATGCATACAAAGAATAAATTATATTCAGTTGCTTTGAAGTGATATCTCACATGAATCTTAATAAATCTCTAAACTCATGGGGTTGTACCATTTGACTGGAGAATTGCTAATATAGTTCCGATTTTTAAGAAAGGGAAAAAAAGCGACCCGGGTAACTATAGGCCTGTAAGTTTGACATCTGTAGTATGTAAGATCCTGGAAAAATTTTTGAAGGAGAAAGTAGTTAGAGACATTGAGGCTAATGGCAATTGGGACAAATTACAACATGGTTTTACAAAAGGTAGATCGTGCCAAACCAACTTGATCTCCTTTTTTGAGAAAGTAACAGATTTTTTAGATAAAGGAAATGCAGTGGATCTAATCTACCTCGACTTTAGTAAGGCATTTGATACAGTACCACATGGGGAATTATTGGTTAAATTGGAAAAGATAGGGATTAATATGAAAGTTGAGAGGTGGATAAGCAACTGGTTAAAGGGGAGACTACAGCGGGTCATATTGAAAGGTGAACTGTCAGGTTGGAGGAAGGTTAATAGCGGAGTTCCTGAGGGATCAGTTTTGGGGCCAATTTTATTTAATCTTTTTACTGCTGATCTTGGCACCAAAAGTGGAAGTGTCCTAATAAAATTTGTGGATGACACAAAGTTGGGAACTATTACCAATTCAGAAAAGGATCAGGATATCATACAGGAAGATCTGGATGATCTTGTAAATTGGAGTGATAGCAATAGGATGAAATTTAATAGTGAGAAGTGTAAGATTATGCATTTAGGGATTAATAACAAGAATTTTAGTTATAAGCGGGGGACACATCAGTTGGAAGTAACGGAGGAGGAGAAGGACCTTGGAGTCCTGGTTGATTATAGAATGACTATGAGCCGC